AAAAATACTAAATTATTTATTAATTTAAGCCAAATTTTACCTATCCTTTTTTTAATTATTATTTATTTACTTGTTCGTTAGAGTTCTTAACGTGCTGCATAAGGATGGTAATTTCCTCCGTGATTCCCGGGATTTCACGGATATTCTCGCCACAGGGATGGAAATTCTGAGAATATTCCACTTCATAGGGTAGGGATAGAGGCATTTCTTCCTTGTGAAATTTCGTAAGGAATTTCCTCCACCCCGTGGAGAACCGTGGAGGTCTATATAAAATAAAAAAAAAATTTATTTATATATTTTTTTAAATATATTAACAATTAATTTTTACTTATTCAACCTAATTAATTGACCAATCCTTTTTTTTTTTTTCAGTTTTTCCAAACTCAATTATATAGTTCAGTCCAGCCCTTAATCTTCTTAAACTTAATTACCCAAGCCCAACCCAATTTGCATTATCTTCTTAAACTTAATTGCCCGAACCCAACCCAATTTGCTAGTAACCCTAGAACTAGAAGGATTATTTCAAATTTCTAAGATTTGCGAATTTGCTCTGCAATTCCTCCTCTCTAAACCCAGTCTCCTCTCCTCTGCGCTGTAGCTCATTGGCTTTGTTTCTGTTCTTCAATCGATCAATTCCCTTCAACCTATCATTCTCGGCAACCTTTGAAAAGTAGTGCCCATAGCTTTGTTTCTATTGTTCAATCAGCTACTTGCAGCTTGCCTAAACTTGAGTTATGAGTATTTATGAGTATCTAAGTATCTATGCTTGATGATTTATTTTGAAGTAAAGCAGATCTTATTCTTTTGGCCTTATTATTTTTGATTTCATTTTCCCTCCAATTGTTCGCAAGATTGTTAGAATGCGATTTTCGTTGTTTACATGCCTACGCAGCTTCTTTCTCGCATTTGCAGTGAACGATAATCGTATTGTTATTTTGAGACTCATTCAAGCTCTTTATTCGTTCTATCTTCAGTTATTTTCTCAAACGAGAAACGAGTATCGAGTTTTATTTGGCGGGGATTCCGAACATCCGCAGGAACCTATCATTCTCTGTGAGTATGGGGACGGAAACTATTTTTGATCCTTCGCTAAAATTCCCTGTGGGGATCCTCATACCCATCATTAACGGGGATGGAGATGGAGAGGGGGTCTCCACGCCCGTGGGAACCCGTTGCCATTCTTAGTACTGGATTCCGAACCCCACTCAACTCCTTTGCTCTGATTCAAATTGGGATTTCAAAACCTAATTTTATTGATTAAGGTGATGTTACATACCGACCACGTTCGCAAGTCATTAATGAGAGATTAGGACAAATGAAAATTAAATCTTCTCAAAATCTTGGGTCTGCATTGGGTTTTATGACTTATTTTCTGCAAATTTCTTGACCTGTGAACCACTCTCAATCTCCATAGAGCTCTTAATCTCCATAAATTGTATGATCACAACCAAAATAAATAGATTTAATTAAACATAAGATTTAATTAAAATACATAAAATTTAATTAAGACACATTAATATTAAAGTAAACTTGTTGAGCTTTTATAAAATTAGTCAAGTAGAGGCTCTAAACACCAAATTCAACCCATACTAATAGAATTATAGAGCTATGTTTTATATCTTTTAAAGTCTTGATCTTTCAAGCACACAACTTTTGTTTTAATCTTGATTATAAATACTAATGTATAACATCAGGATCAAAATCTTAATACGTTCAGCAAATTAGCAAGGAAAGGATAATAAAAATAAAAGACTTGGATCCTAAACTCATATATAATGTGTTTGATACCACATATTAAAATTTTAAAGATTGATATACTTAAAATTAGAATACTAAGATATAACAAAATAAAATAAATTACATGCCGAATCTTGATGACCAATATGCTATTAAAAAAATTTTCAGAATTATTATAATTTAAAATCTTATGACAAAACCTACAAAATAAATATAATTAATGTTGAGATTTAGATTTTTCTTTTCTTATGCAACTTCTGTATAGTAACAACTAGAACTACCCCATTACAATAATCTTTTGATCACCTCATCAAGTAATCTAACCTTAATCCCAAACCCTATAACTATTTATATCATACCATATAAATTTGAAATAAAATCTATTTGGGTCACATAACTTCATTAAGTTTTATCCATTTTCTATTTGATCCTTATTTTATAAACCTAAAAAACAATTCTCAGTTACCCACATAAAAATTTCTAACGTACGTTGATATCAGGTTAAAAATTGAAAAGAGTGAAAACGAGAAATATATTTTTTTTTTCAAAAAAGCCTTTTTTCTTTTCTTTTTTATTTTCCTTATATATAAAAATGTCTCATGTATATATTTATACAATAAAATAATTTTAAATATATATAATTAATCACAATATGAACATAATCCTTTGACTTGACTGAACTAAATGCTATATAACACCCCTACACGTTTTTCTTTCTTCGTTACAAAGTTTTCTGCTTGTTTGGTTCCCAAGAAAATTTCCGTACTCTTCGCAGCTCTTTATGGTAATTAATCTTTAGTCTTGATTCTCTGTTTTTAGTTGATTCAATTTTCTGATATTTGTTTAACTTACGGAGTTTTCCGCATGCACCGATTTTTTTTTTTTCTGATTTTATTGAGTTTGATTTCAGATGTCTGCGGACCAATCCGACAAGGATTCAAAGCCGTTCGTCGAGGTTGATCCTAGCGCCCAGTACGGACGCTACCATGAACTGCTCGGCTCAGGGGCCGTAAAAAAGGTGTACAGAGCATTTGATCAAGAAGAAGGGATATAGGTAGCATGGAATGAAGTGAAGCTTCGGAGCCTCACGACCTGGCTATGGTCGTCTGACTCTACTCGGAGTTCCGACTGCTTAGAAACCTAGCTAGCCAATAAGAACATCATCTCGCTTTATGACGTCTCTGGCGCGACAATCAGCATAATACCCTGAATTTCATCACTGCGGTTTGTAACTCTGGCAATTTGAGGGCATACCGGAAGAGACACCGGTCGATATAGCGCTGAAGAAGTGGTCTAAGCAGATCTTGAAAGGGTTGAATTATTTGCATACCCACGAGCCCTGTATCATCCACAGGGATCTTAATTGCAGCAACTTGTTCGTCAATGGGAACATCGGTCAGGTAAAGTTTCAAATTCTTTCTTGTTTTGGGGATAAAATTCTTGTTTGGCCTCCGCATAAAGTCTAATTGGCGGTTTGCCTTTTTGGAACAGGTCAAAATTGGCGACCTGGGTCTGGTGGCGACTGTAGGGAAGAACCATTCGGCGCATTCAATACTCGGGACACCGGATTCATGGTACCGGAGCTCTACGATGAGGATTACATGGAGCAGGTGGATATTTACATGTTAGAAACTGAAAGAAGGGAAAGAGAAAAATATTTGAAGAAAGGTTTTCTTCTTTCTTTTTCACTTTTTGATCATGCGATCCAGCATCTGCAGGTGATTGTCCATATCTTCTAATGGATCTGACAAGGCAGCCTAACAACCAATATTACCAGGTTCCCCCTCCATCCATCCTACAACTGAAACTCCATGCACAAACAATACAATGGATCCCATTAGGACCTGAAATCATTGTTGCTCATCAGGAGTTGTACGTCTGCGTACACGACGCCTCCAAGAAATTGAACCGCCATCAGAGGAACTCATTATCCTCATCCCTAGAAGAAGATCCAGTTTCCCCATGATAGCTCTCTCCCCAAAGTCGGGTGGATCTCCTCCGCACACCTGGTTGTGCTTAAGCACTTGAGGGGCTAGACCGGCTGCTGCTACTGCGCCTGGGGCTTGAACTAGGTCGAAAGGGGCTTGAACTAGGTCAAATCACTCGAATAAGGAAACACACAGTGAGCCAACCACCATCATCTATAGACAAAATGCTATCATCATTTCCTCCCATCTCCAAATGAAGGTCGAAGTGTGCTGAGCAAGTGCCCAAGGTCTCTCTGGCGCTCCAGCCTCCTCCAATTGCACCGTCGCTCAGGATCAGTCTCTGATGGACGTGGGGTGCTCAAGCCTTGCATGAATTGACGAGAAGGCTCCACAACAATCTAGTCTTTTATCTGCCCAGGACAGAGGGGGCGCAGTAGATTTGGCCTCAGATGATCCTCAAAAGGGATGGTAGACAAGTTGGTTGGACCTTCCTCTCTCCTTTCTTCCTGAAAATCTGTAATAGTTGATTCAGGAGTCATAGATGGCAATGAGTTTGTGGATACAAGCTGAGTTCCATCCCCTGGTGGGGTTGCTGATGAATTTTCCCTAGATGACTTCCGAAACTGGTCAAAACAGTTAGAGTGTCGATAACTTGTATCAAACATATAAGGGCGACAATCTTTATCACGGGAAGAGCATATTAGGAGAATTGCATTGTGTGGATGTTCCATGCATACAGGGCACCTGGACCCTTCCCGTTCCTTCAAATTTTCCTCAGTGTCTGGAGGGTTTTTTGGCGAAGATGGATGACTATGGCTGGAACTACATAGAAAAGGAGATCTCCTATGTCTATCAAAAGACATGCAGCGATCTCTTCTCTCTTTCGGCATATTAAAATCTCAAATATACCAGCAGAAACTCTAAATGTTGGATCTTTCACAAAGCAGGGGCAGAACTCCGCTCCGTCGATACAAAAGCAACCTCCGATGCTCACTGTGTATGTCCTTGTTCGAGTGAATCGACCTAGTTCAAGCCCCTTTCGACCTAGTTCAAGCCCCATGCCCAGGAGCAGAAGCCGGTCTAGCCCCTTAAGGGCTAAAGCACAACCAAGTGTGCGAAGGAGATCCACCCGACTTTGGGGAGAGAGCTATGATGGGGAAACTGCATCTTCTTCTAGAGATGAGGATAACGAGTCCTCTGATGGCGGTTCAACTTCTTGGAGGTGTCGTGTGCGCAGTCGTACAACTCCTGATGAGCAACAATGTTTTCAAGTCCTAATGGGATATCCATTGTATTGTTGGTGCATGGAGTTTCAGTTGTAGGATGGATGGAGGGGGAACCGGGTAATATTGGTTGTTAGGCTTCCTTGTTAGATCCATCAGAAGTTATGGACTCCATCAGAAGATACGGACAATTGCCGGAGGATGCTGGATCGCATGACCAAAAGGTGAAAAAGAAAGAAGGAAACTTTTCTTCAAATATTTCTCTTTTCCCCTCCTTTTAGTAACATTACTCTTTCAGGATGTGCGCGCTGGAGACAGTGACTCTGGAGATTCCATACAGCGAGTGCGACAGCGTGGCAAAGATTTACAGGAAGGCATCAAGTGGGGTGAAGCCGGCGGCGCTGGGGAAAGTGAAGGAGAAGGACCCAGAAGTTAAGGCGTTCATCGAGAAGTGTCTCGGGCAACCGAGGGCCAGACCGTCGGCGGCAGATCGAGCTCCTCAAAGACCCGTTCTTTAATGAAGTTGACGATGACAAAAACGATAGCCTGTAGAGTGCATTAACTTTTCTTCACGGTGCAGAATTATGTGCGTTGTTTTTTATTATTTTTACCTACAAAATTGTTCCTTGGCTTTTTTATTTGTTTTTTACGTCGTGGTGTGGATTAGTATGGAATTGGGATTTTTTTAAATTAATTTCTAGAGATTCATATTTCTGATCGAGTATACATAAAATGTAATTTAACTTGTATCAAGCTTTTGGGTCATCAATAATACTCAATGTTTAAATTTAATTAGTTAAGAATTTAATTTTCACTAATGATTTAAAAAATT